CGAAGTCAGACGCTTAACCGACTGAGCCACCCAGGCGCCCCCGAAATTATTGCTATTTTTTAAAGGTATCACTTAATCTTATGTTTTAGTGGGGTGATTAACCTGAAATATCTGAAAAGATATTTGTATTACGTTGTTAACTGAAAAGGGCAAGTTATGAAACCATTACAAACAGAATAATCTCACTATTGTGAACCTTATATTTATTTATTCTGGATTTACTTGGCTACCATACGCATACATAGCACAGTGACCGTAAGGATATGAAACAACAGTGGTTGTAGCATGGGAGGGTGCAAAATCATGATTTTTTAATTCATATTTTTCTTGTCCTTTCTGGTTTGTTGTAATGAGTAAACGTCTTATAGAAAAATATTTTTAGGCGTGATAATGGCTTTGTGGTTATATTTTAAAAGAGTCCTTATCTTGGGGGCAACTCAGTGGCTTAGTCAGTTAAGGCTCTGACTCTTGATTTCAGCTTAGATCATGATCTCACTGTTTGTGGGTTTGAGCCCCATGTCGGGCTCTGTGTTAGCAGCATGGAGCCTGCTTGGGATTCTCTGTCTCCTCTCTCCTCCCCTCCCCAGCTCTCTCTCTTTCTAAATAAATAAATAAACTTAAAAAAAATTAAAAAAAAACTGGGGTGCCTGGGTGGTTCAGTTGGCTAAGCATCCAACTCTTGGTTTTGGCTCAGGTCATGATCTCACAGTTTTGTGAGATTGAGCCCCACATCAGGCTCTGCGCTGACAGTGAGAAGCTTGCTTGGGATTCTCTCTCTCTCCCTCCCTCTGCCCCTCCCCCTCCCCCACTCACGCTGTCTGTCTCTCTCAAAAAAATAAATGAACTTAAAAAAAATTAAATTAAAATTAAAAAATAGAGTCCTTATCTTTAGAGATTAATAATGAAATATTTATGGATAAAAATGATATGATATGCAGAATGTCCTTCATAGTAATCAAGGATGGGGGAAAGTGGGTGGAGACATAAATGAGTTGATTAATTATTAAAGCTGGGTGATGGGTACATGTGGATTAATCATACAGGTTTTCCTATCTTTGTGTATATTTGAAATCTTCCATTAAAACAAGTTTAAAACTACGGATTCCCAAGCCCTACTACAGGTGACCTTGCATTTAAAAATATTTCCCAAATGATCCTGATATACAATCAACTGCTGAATTAGATTATAGCTAGGGGCGCCCGAGTGGCTCAGTTGGTTAAGTGTCTAACTTCGGTTCAGGTCATGATCTCATGGTTCACGAGTCTGAGCCCCCCATCAGGCTCTCAGCCCTTGGGGCAGAGCCCGCTGCAGATCCTCTGTCCCCTTCTCTCTCTGCCTCTACCCCGCTCATGCTCTCTCTCTCAAAAATGAACATAAGACAAAAGATTTCTATAGGATATAGCTAGTGTCCCTTTAATAGCATCATAAAGAATTACTTTCCATATAATTCGATGCACTGATATTGTGCAAGAATGAATTTGGCTGGTCTTTGTCCCCAGTCCTGGGTAGTTAACTTCTAAATCCTTGGGAATTCCTGAGTGATGGGAGTGTGTTCATTTTTCATGGTGGGCCTCTTCAATCACGTGTGACTTTATAATAAACAAATGGCTCAGGATGGTGGCTGGTCAGGCTGGAAAGATGAACCATGTGATTAGAGGGCTGGGGCTTTGAGACAGGTGATATCAGCCTGACCTCCAGCAGAAGGGAGGGAAAAGGGAGCTACGGATTAAATTCAATCATGTGGCCCATGATTCACCATGTAATGAAATCACAACAAAAAACTCTAGACACCTGATGCTTGGGTGAGCTTCCTTGCTGGGTAATCCTATATCAACGTGCTGGGAAGGTGACACATCTTGAGAACACAGAAGCTTCTCGTTTGGAATTCTCCTGGACCTCACCTCATGTCCCTCTTCACTTGGCTGGTCCTGATTGGTGTCATTTATAATAAAAGTGTAATTGTAAATAGAGCGCTGTCCTGAGTTC